AAAAAAACCTAACTGAAACATGAGAATCCCTCCAAAAATGGATTAAAATCAAGAAGGATGTGCATAAAATAAAACACACATGTGCACTTCCAGTGGAATAGTTCTACTCTGTCCCTAAGGTTCACTCTGAGTTGACATCCACTGAGTGGCTTTGGGTTGGATTTGAGTTGGGTTTTCCTTATGTAGTTTAGATTTTTTTGCCCATCACTTCAGCCAAGATAAATTACTTGTCCCATTGCTCTTTGTTTCATGTTAATTTGAAGACTGAGTTGTGCCTGATTTAGCCCATGGTTTCTTCAGTCACTTGCTATGCTGCTGAGAGCTGGACAAGGAAGGAATAAGGATGACAGAAGAATTGATGCTTTTGAACAGTGGTTTTGCAGAAGACCACTGAATATTCCATGGACAATCACCCTAGCATTAATAAGCTGTTCTGCAATTACATGGGCATGTGGTTCAAATCCACCAGCTGCTCCATAGGAGAAAGATGGGTAATCTCTTCCTGTGCAATTAACTGCCTCTGAAAACCTGCTGGGGGATCAGCTATAGGTTGGTTCTGACTCAAGGGTATACAACAACAACAACAACCAAAATAACAGATATATCTCAGAGAAGGTGCAGCCAGAGTGCTCCTTGGTCACAAAAATCATATAGCTTTGTCTTATATACTTTGAGCATGTAGCTATGAAAATCATGCTTGGGAAGGAGGAGGGATGGTAAAAGAGAAGATCCTTGGCCAAGTGGATTGACACAGCAACTGCAGCAATGAACTCAAGTGGATCAGAGATTGTGACTTTAACCCAAGGGTTTACTGGATGGCACATTAACAACATTATCTTCTTGTGTCTCAAGTCAGATTTCTATAGTGCATATTCCCTGTAGTGGAATGTGATTTTTATATACACTATCATATCACCTTGATAGAGGCCATGGTCTTCGCAATCACTTGTTATGCATCAGAGAGCTGGGCAATGACTAGGGAGGACAGAAGGAGACTTGATGCCTTTGAGCTGTGGTGCTGGAGAAGAGTATTAAATGTACCATGGACTGCCAAGAAAACAAACAGATTCATCCTGGAGAGGATTAAACCAAGCAACCCCTTGGAGGCAAGGATTCTGGGGTTTCGTCTGACATACTTTGAGCATGTTGCAAGGAGGGACAGGTCCTTGGAGAGGGACATCAAGCTTGGGAGGGTGGAGGGATGGCGCAAGAGGGGAAGACCCTCTGTGAGATGATGGATTGATTCAGTGACTGGGGTAATCGGGATGGGTGTGTCAGAGGCAGTGCGATTAGCACAGGATAGAGCAGGGTTTAGGGCTATTGTACTTAGGGTCACTATGAGTCGCAAATGACTTGATGGCACATAACAACAACAACAACAATAATCATATCACCCACCTAATTAGTTCAACCTCTTCTCTGTGTGAATACCTATTTCTTTTTCTTGCCTTGTTACTCTAGCTCACACTTCAAATAGAATATTGAATAGGAGTACTTGTTTACAAGGGTAAAACCTTTAGTTTCTTTCCATTGAGAATGATGCTAGCTCTTGATTTTGCATATATGTTTTTAATTATGTTGAGTCAATTCCCCTCTATTTCTATTTTGTTGAGAGTTTTTAATCAGGAAGGAGTGTTGAATTTTGTTCAAAGCCTTTTCTTCATAAATTAAAGTGATCATGTGGTTTGTGTCCTTTGGTTTATATTATAGATTAATTTATTATTTTTCTTATGGTACAGCATCCTTTTGTGTCTATTATGAATCTCACTTGATTATAATAATAATTATTATGAGTCAAAAAGAATGGTAACTGGATGAATTATGTATACTGCATTGAAATGGATGAGGGAGAGAACAGTTTAAAAGCAATATATTATAGGGCATTATGATTATCTAAGAGTCTGGAATGAAGGTTGCAGAGTGGAGTATAATCGTGGTGAGGAGGGGGTTTGGGGGATTGCATATCAATAAAGGTATTTTTCTTTTACTTTTCAAAGAGAAGAGTGAACTGGGGATGGGGGTGGGGTGGGTGAGGAGAAAAGTGCAACAATGAATGAATGGGAATTCAAAATCTCTGTAAATGTTCATGGAAATCAATAAAAAAAGAATAAAATAATAATAATAAAAAAGAACGGTAAGGCTGACACCAATTGAGCCTCAGTCGGCTTTCACCAAATCATGCAAAAAAGAATGATCAAAGAATAGAGAGAGCACTGAAAAAAGGGTAGAGAAAGCTGGCATTGAAAAAAAAAATTGTTCTTTTGAAGCCCCTGTTAGCTGGGATTTTGTTAAGGATTGTTGAGTCTATGACCATGAGAGATATTAGTTATAGTTGTCTTTTTTTGTAAAGTACCAGGTTTTTGGTATCAGGGTTGTACTTGTCTCATTGGAAGAATCTGGGAGTATTCCTTCTTCTTCTATATTGTTGTTGTTGTTAAGTGTCGTCCAGTAGAAGATGACTCACAGTGACAATAAGAACAAAAGACCAGAACACTTGTTTAACTTTCATAATTTCTCTGAGTTCATAGAATTTCCAGAGGCAAGCTATTTCGGAAGTGGATGCCACGTCTGCTTCCAAGCCTGTTTTAATCTGAGAGCGCCACCAAACACTGTCCACCATTGGTAACCATTATTGCATTCTATACTTTGAAATAAATAGAATTGGTAGTTCTCTGTTTGGTAGAAATTGAAGGTGAAGTAATTTGCATCTGGTTTTTTGTTGGGGGGAGGGGTTTATGACCTGCTCAACTTTTTGTTTGTGATGGGTCTATTTAAGTGTTCTACTTCTGTGTGTGTCCGTCTGGGTATGGTGTAAGGTTTTTTTTTAATTGACCGTTTTGAATAACCAGCCATTGGTTTTGTTCATAGTTTCTCATGAGTAAGCTTTGTTATACAGATGACACGACCTTGCTCAATGAAAGTGAGGAAGACTTGAAGTGCTTGCTACAGAAAATCACAGCCTTTGATATGAATTGCATCTCATTGTCAAGGAAAAAATTCTCAACACTTGGACCCATAGGCAACATCGTGGTAGATGAAAAAAAAAAGATTGAAACTGTCAACACCTTCATTTTATTCAGATCCACAATCAAGACACTTAGAAGTTAGGAGATCAAGATACACATTGTAAAAAAATAAAGCTTTAAAAAAAAAAGATACACATTGTGCTGAGGAAGTCTGCAGTCAGATATCTATTCTAATTAATGAGGAGTAATGATGTTAATTTGAGGACAAAGGTACTCCTTACTCAAGCAAAGACTAATGGACCACATGGGTTCCATATCAAATGGCAGGCTGCATGTAGGTGGGCAAAAGAATCACACAGTGCACCATCTCAGCCTTAGTAGGAAGTGCACATGTACCTCCTGCACGTGGTGTGCACCTGATGCTAAACCTACAGGTGTGTCCTGTCAGAGACAGACACTATCATCTTCGAGATGCCCAATGACAGCAAAGAATAGTATATGGAGATTGTGCTGTTCTAAATGTGAGTCTGTCACGTTCTGGTGTGGATTCTATAAATCTAGGGGCTGGCTGGCTGCTAGGCCTTCTGCTCCCAGGCACAGCACACTCTGCAGATTCCCAGATGCAAGAGAGCCAATCTCAGAGGGTGGAGCAGTGCCTGCATTCCTGCAGCCAGATACAAAGAGGCATGAGGTGGAGCTGGGACGGGCCTAGGGGAACACTATTTGGACACTTGGTTGAAAGCATGGTGGTGGGAAAGTCTCCCTTTTAATCTCTGTGAGGGTATGGGGAACAAAGAGGATCATATCTTTCTTGCCATAGGCATTCATAGTGTGGACACCACTGATTAGAAAGCTGTTTGCAAAAGTTCCAGAGTCTGTGCTGTGTGAAGTCTAGCATACAATCCACTGTTCTATCTCATTATTTGAAGCCTTCATTTAGTTTCTTCCTTCAGTTGGTGTTTGAACTATTTATTGTTTCCTTTGAAATTCAGGGCTTCATTATATATATAATCTATCCTTTATTTTATGGTATTTTTATGGGGACTTGACATTCTAGCGAGCAGTAAGATTTTGGGAGGAGACAAGAGACAGAAGGGATAAGTGAGGAAGAGCAAGACCTGGGAGTGACAGGAGCTTACAACATGAGGTGTCTAATTTATTATTCCAAAAGGTGATGAAAGACTGATGAAAGGTCTTAAGTAAGGTGTGTCCAAGTTGTGAGTGGCTGCTATGGAATGGGGGTGAACATCACCAGAAGGAAGGAGGCCAAGGTATATAAAATTCAGGCAATCCAGGTGGACCCTGAAGTCTCCTCAAATGACGGCAGTGATGGAAAAGAGAGCTCAATGTGAGCAAAGTTCAAGGCCAATGGTAAATAAAAGGAGGGAACTACAATTAAGTAGACAAAGCAAAGACATGGGGCAGAGGTGGTGGTTAGGAGTTTTTATAAAGCGATGAAGTAAAACTGGCTAACATGAAACAGAATGTTTATTAATTACTCCATTATATCCACATAAATGATACTATGAAATTGCTGCTACTCTTACACTCCTTTTAGGGTGGAAAATGAAGGACAGAAGATCAACCAGTACTTTAAAGTTCTTAAACTGATTTTCATTTAAAAAAATGGTTAAGGAGGATGTTTAACTGGGGGAAAAAAAATCTGCTATTTTGCTCAGTAAGGGAGGTTTATTCTTTTTGGAAAACATAATTTTTGGTTCTGAAATATTTGTTTTCCAATATCCAGCAGATGGCAGTAATTCCACGTTGGTCATCGACTAGAAAAATACATGCAGTCTGCACATATCAAGGCTTCTGGTTTCTCCATGCTTTGATGATTTCTTCAGCAGCATCCAGTGTACTATCTTTCTACAAAATAATGAGATAATCATTATAAAGGTCAAAATAAAATCAAGATGTGCAACAATTTAAGTAAAAAAAAAAGATCAAACTTCAAAACCATAATACCAATAAATGAAGATTAAAGTGAATATCAGTTTTCAGGTAAAGAACTTTTCAAGGTGAAAATGCAAAGGCAGAGCCCTCCAAAGGGAAACATCTTTTGTATTAATTTGACCAATTAATATATGTTGTTGTTGTTATGTGCCATCAAGTCTCTTGTGACTTATAGTGACCCTATTTACAACAGCCCTGAAACCTACTCTATTCTGTGCCAACTTTACTGTCCCCGACACACCTGCCCTCATTACCCCAGTCACTGTATCAATCCATTCATCGATGGTCCTCCCTCTCTTTCTCCATCCCTGCACTCTTCCAAGCATGAAGTCCCTCTCCAAGGACGGGTCCCGCCTTGCAATATGCCCAAAGTAAGTCAGACAAAGCCTCAGAATCCTTGTTTCCAAGGAGCACATTTGATTGTTTCTGTAATAAAAAAGCCAAAGAATACAGAGAACTTACACTAAAAAAGAATAGTTATCTGTCCCGCTCCTTCTGCTTTTGTTGTGTGCATCAAGTCAACTAAGATTCATAGCTACTTCTTCCAATATTTCCTCTACCACCAAAGGCAATTGTTTTTGTTTGTTGTTAAGTGCTGTCGAGTCATAGACAACTCATAGTGACCCCATAAATGAAAGACCTGAACCCTGTTTAACTTTCACCGTTTCTCCAAGTTCATACGGTTTTTAGAGGCAAGCTATTTCAGAAATGGATGCTACTCCTGCTTCCAAGCTTGTTTTACTCAGGGAGCTAGCTCCACCAAACACTGTCCACTATGGGTAGCCATTATCAGATTTGACACATCAGTCTCACAGTGTTCAGCTTCACAGCAACCACGAGTTACTTCTGTAAAGCAAGTGGACAGACCAGGGCTATACCACTTAGAAGAATGTTTGACCAAAAACAATTTAAATCAGGCCTGAGGGCTGCAGATTAAAAATCACCCACCTTTGTTTTGGTAGCATCAACTTCCTTCGACTAGGCCAACTGAGTTCTCTCTATGTTGTTGTTGTTAAGTGCCGTCAAGTCATAGATGGCTCATAGTGACCCTATGAACCAAAGACCTGAACACTTGTATAATTTTCATCGTTTCTCCAAGTTCATAGGGTTTCTGGAGGCAAGCTATTTCAGATGTAGATGCTACTCCTGCTTTCAAGCTTGTTTTAATCAGGGAGGTCCAATACTCGACAGCAATTTTTTATTTTAATTCTAGTAGTTACCACAAAAATTCAATATGCTTATGTACCTTTCCATTAGTTTATCAGCTTTCCATGAATAAAACAAATTTATTTGTAGTACTTTGTCCTCTTTTATTAATTTGCTGTTGTAATATTATTGTCAATAATAAGGATTTATCTAACATTTTTATATGGATGGTGTCATTGGTTCCAACTCACAGCCAACTTTGTACTATTGCCTGATTCTGCTCTATCCTGATAATCAGGACTGTGTTTCCACCCATTGTTGCAGCCATTGTGTTGAACCATCATAGTGAGGGTTGCGCTAGGCTGTTTTCTTTAGAGAAGCAAATCTAGTGCAGTTTATATAGTTATCTAAAGGAAACGGCTCCATGGTTGAAAATGCTGGCAAGCTCCAAGTCCACAAGTCAGACTCCAGGCTGGAGACAGCAGGTCTCTGGTTGATGAAATGTAAAGGCTGACGAATCCCAAGATCAACTGTCAAGTCACTCACAACCATGCTCCAGTCAAGCAGACAAATAACTCTAGCCAATACAGACATCTTTTTT